CCTTCAAACCAAAAATCATGGACACCAAGTAATCCCCTTAATTGCATAATAAAAATGGACATCGCAGATTTCAATTCGCCAAACGTAAAAGTGTGAGATCCCGTAGATCTGTTCGGGTTTTCCACGACAACGCCCCCCCATCTTGGTATTAGGAAAGCGTTATTATTTACAACGTTTCCTGTGATAGGATCAATGAAATCTATTTTTTAAATTATGAACGCTTAAACACCATATTCTCAATTATACCTTTTGAATCTTGTATATACAAAGGACTCTGTTCTAATGATGGAACATACAAAATGAAATTAAGTGTCGGATAAGAGGTCACTGCTGAAGCTATATAAATAATTTGAAATTAAAAAATTATTCTAGAAATCCTGAAGAAAGTGTTTTAAAAAAATACCAAGGTTCCACTCAGCTGCATTGATAAAGTGGGGTAATAACTCCGGGGTTAGATAGAAAGATTCATTCTCATTATTGATGTTTTTCCGAGGCTCAAATGTAAACCTGGCATAATGCTGAACTTGAGATTCAACAGTCATATTCGAAATTATTGAAATCTCGTCAACAAATGGTTTCAGGTATTTATCAACAGCCCGTTCAATATCCCAGTCTACAAGCAAACTTGATGGATCACCGTTCATGAGGCTAAATGTTACTTGATACATCGGTGAATATTTCATTGTTCTCATGCTGTCAATTTCTACCTAAGTTTGTAATTAAATTGTCAGGAACAATACATAAAAATTATTTAATATTATCATATTAGAAGTTCAATATTATACCTTTGCATCAGCCGAGGGTTCTAAGATGAACTTTTTGATAGCAGCTTGCTCAGGTAAAAATAAGCTTAAAATAATATTCGAAATAGTCTTCTCGACGAAATCTATATTAGCAATTATTTAAATACGACGACATGATTAAGAAAATGTCCTTACAAATTGTTTTATAATAACACTCACCAATATTCCAATTCTTAAACTCTATAATCGCTTGTCTTTGATTTCCCACCAAAACTCTCGTATTCACACTGCTCCCAGGTAATATATAAAAAGCATATTGTCCATTCCTACTTTCAAAATTTAAAATTTCAGGATCAAATCCTACAGTAATAATTGTAAAATAATCAGATTTCTATCTTTTTAAAATTCGTGCAGGCGAATTTTTTACTCCAGATTCTTACTTTCTTTGAGGACATCTCTCCATCCATCCCACTTTACCATTTCGCATTTAATCGGAAATCGAATCGATTTTAAAGAATTATTTTCACCATTTATTGAGTTGATAGAATCATATTTCGACATAATCGATTTTTCCAGACGTGCTGAAAGATTCCCGAAGTTATTAACACTATCCTCCACTTCGGCAACATATAAAGTAAAGTGAATTGGAAAGTCTATACCGAGTGTCTACAAATTTGTTGTAATAATTTGAAAAATAATAATATTTTGAGAATCAGAGAACTTAGGACACACCTCCCAGTTAGACCATTCTTCTATTTCTGCAAATGGTAGCTGAGCACGATAAACCTCGGTTGTTCTCCACCATAAAGGGATGCCGATTAATATTACAACCCAAAAAGATAATATAATTAATCGACGAGTTTGGTCAATGTTACTTTGACTTTTTTCCATTCTAAACTTTTGCAAATATCACATCTCTGGTAGCTTGACTGAGATACGCAAGTTTTAAAATTGTATGTACGCACGTACATTTGATAATCATTTGAAAAAATAATCTCCAATCAAATTATTATACAACCTAGTGTTAAACTTTTAATAATTTATATTTAGTTGTATATACACTTTGTAAAGTTTTTGGACAAATATGGTTAAAATAAATTAAAAATAAATTTTTTTAAATTTTTATTATTTTAAAAAAAAAACAATATTTTTTATACGATCACAATAAGTTAAATACTAGCTTACTTAGGATATAAAAAAAGTACTAGATTATTTATAGTAATAATTATTTAAATTATATTAAAAAAAAATTTCAAATTAATATAATAGTTAGATAATATTAAACAATTATAAATATTTATTAGAATTATAAAAAATAAAGTTACAATAATTAAAATTAAAATTAAAAATATATAAGAAATAATTAAAATTAGAAATATAAGCTTTTTAACAAAAATATTTTTTCTTGCTTAAAAACTTAACTTGAAAAAGTTATAATAAAATTACTTTGATTAAAAGTTGTGATCAAATTATATGAAATTTGTCAAAAATATTTTTAATAGTTATTAGTTTCTATACTAAAATATAAGAATATACAAAGAAATATAATAAATTGTAAAAAATAAAAATTCTTTAATACAAAAGATTATATATATAAGGCTTTATATAGTTAAACCCTGGTTTTGCTTAATATAGATATTAAAAATATATATTAGACAAATAATTTTATTCTGAATACTTAACATTATATTATTTCATATACTCAAAAATTTTTTTTATAAAATTGGTTTTTTTATTTACTTTTTCAATTCTATGGTCCAAAAATGGAATCATATAAACTCACATAAACTCGCATATATATAAAAAATATAAGTGGATTATAACCTATTTATTAATTTACTATAAGAGTTAAAATTGAATAGAATCGAATATAGAATCATTAGAATCCTTATCCAATTTCTATTTATATAAAAAATTATAATTAATTTATTTTTTTAAAGATTAATACAAGATGATTATATTATATTGAAAAAAAGATTTCCTAATATAAAAAGAATTTATAGACTATATTATAATAATAAACTAATTTTCAGATTTAGTATACTCAAAATCTAATTCTTCTAGATATAATATATCAAATAATTTATATTTTTTTTTTAACAAGTATATACTATATAAGAAATTTTTTGGAATGACTCTTTCCGCTGATCCCCTTGCCAATCCAAAAAACAGACATTCTCAAAAATAATTTTTATTTTTGATAATAAAGTCTATAAACTTTTTTTAAAAATATTACTTCCTGAAGGCAGGTGCCTCCTCCCACTTGTTTACTCCTCCTTCTTCAAAAACTTTGGATATTTCAATGACAAAATAAACAAAATTTTACCCATTTGATTTATGGCAAGAACACCTTATTGGGAAGAAGAAACTTGTAGAAAAACACTCTCCACTATTTTCTCCAAAGATCTGAAATTCTAGAAAGTGAACCACTAGTGAATATATTTCCCAAGCTCCATAAGAACCTTGGGTCCACCATAAGTGAATACCTTTTGTTCAAGGTGAATGGATAAGTTAGTTGGGCTGGCCAGTGAATACATCTCCAAGTAATATGGGAACCTTGGGTCCACCATAAGTAACTCCTGTGGGTCCAGGCAGATGGATAAACTGAAAGAACCCAGGTGTATGAACCTTCTCTACTATTTATATATGTCTAATAGTTGGTACTTTCAAGCGTGTTCAATTTTTCTTGGTTTTTTCTGGGGAATTTTGCCTACCTCAGTTTGACCCTGAATTTTTTGTTACACCAGATTCTCTGGTTGGTGATTGGCCGAAATCTTGGATTGGTTGATCGACAAGTAAAAGAAATATAAACAAAACACGTACCCACACGTGCCCCGCGTCATACCACATTATAACCGATAATGTAATTGGATATAGCGAAAGAGCAAGGTGACGAGATGTCCTCTTGATAAGAAATGCTTGGAAGTACTATGCAGGATATATGATTGATGAGAAAGGATTATATACCAGACTTTAGATTCCTACCAGCTTATCCATCCGCCTGGACCACAGGAGTTTTAACTTATAATGAACCCAAGGTTCTTATGGAGCTTGGGAAATGCATTCACTTGGTAGGACCAACTAGCTTATCCACCTGCCTTGGACAAAGGTGTTTGCTTATGGTGGACCCAAGGTTCTTATGAAGCTTGGGAAATGCATTCACTAGTGGTTCACTTTCTAGAGTTCCAGACCTTTGGAGAAAATAGTGGAGATGTTTTTTCTACAAGTTTCTTCTTCCCAGTAAGGTGTTCTTGCCGTAAACCAAATGGATAGAGTTTTGTTTATTTTGTCACTGAAATATTCAAAGTTTTTGAAGAAGGAAGAGTAAACAAGTGGGAGGAGGCACCTGCCTTCAGGAAGTAATGTTTTTAACGAAAGTGTATAGACTTTATTATCAAAAATAAAAATAATTTTTGAGAACATCTGTTTTTTGGATTGGCAAGGGGATTAGCGGTTTATATTAATATTAATACTATTTATTTTATTATTATATAATTAAAACTCATTAATAAAAAACTCTTTCCTAAAAAACCACAAATTTTCAAAAATTCCTTTTTTGGAAATTTACAAAAAACACTTCAAGAAACATCAAGGAAACACCCAAGAAAAACCTTCACAAGAAAGAAACACTACACTGCTACCTTTGAAAAACCCAAGGAGGACATATATAACAGGTATCATAGAACCTAAAAAGAACACTAACTTTTTGCTTTTATTTCAATACAAATAGATACATACTAGTTTTTTCTTACTGGAAAGAAGGAAAAAACAAGAAACACAATTCACAGTTAAATAAAGGAGAAAGTTAGCACCGCACCTCACAAGCTACCAGCCAGTCATGTATCAGGTTAGATATCTCCTCTAGATACTAGTAAGGCCTTGTATCAGCCAGATCACACCTGGTAAACCAGGCAACCTCACTACCAACACAAAACCAGTGGGGTACCAAGACTTTCTCAATATTGTGTTTAGAAGAAAAGCAAATATCAAATCAAACTTATACTATAAACAACAATCATCACGCGAACTGATCTACATTGGAACCAAAAACCAAAACCAGTTTACCCCCACCAAAAGATCAGCAGTACCACGAACATGTGTGCATACTTCCCACAGATCAAAACAAGAAAACAAACACGTTTGTTTATAGAATTAAAATTAAAGTTCAGCTATATTCCACATTCAAAACAACAACAAACAAACAAATAGAATAACAATCTGATTAAGAAAAGGCACGTGTTATCAAAATAATGGATAAACAACATAACATAGCACATGTAATACAATTACACAAACACAACACAATGACAGAAGTAAAGATGGGTCTCTAAATTATTTGTGAGGAAATAATTCAAATGTCCCTTATTATTAAAAATTTTCATTTCTATATTAAGAAATAAAAAAAACTATCTACAAAGGTTCTTTATAGTTTTAAGCATCTATACAAATCATTTCTGAAATTATGTCCCTATTGAAATAAAGAGCTAGGAATTATGTCCTCTAGGAGACATGGACATAAAAGGACGTAAATTTTATATGCTAAATACTTTAGGGACCCATCTTTAGACAGAAGTATCAACAATTTCATTAGAGAATCAAATAATAGATCACCTCAGAACACTAGAAGACAATTATAATGAAGGAGATCAAAGATGGCTCTGCTCCCTTATAGAAGATAGATCAACTAACACATTATTCGAAATTGCAGACTTGGAAGCACTCATAAATATCACAGTTATCGATGCCGTTGCTGCAAAGCTCCTCAACATTGATTCAAAAATGGCAGTCAAGTGGGCCCTAGCGAAAGAATATATCAAACAAATATAGGAATTCAATCAATACGACATGAGTATCCTGAATAGATTCTTAATTGAAGACCCTCAGCAAGTCACTCAAATTCTAAGTATACTCCAACCAATACAGGATAACTTAGAACAACACAACATTGAACAAGTCCAAATAATACACAACAGCACAAGCCAAGAATCATCTAATGCAGACCAACAAATCCCTAAGAAGAAATGAAAGAACAAGCTAAAGAAGATTCAACCACAACGGAGGAAACACAAATTCCAGAAATAATTATAGAAGAACAACAACCTGTAGAAAAAGATTCAGACATCAATACTTCTATCTTAACCCCAAGCTTGGATATCAAAATGATACCAGATTATGTAACAAGAAATAGACATTATCAGTCAACAAATCCTTTCTATATCTGTGAAAAAGGATCTTACACAGCTGGAGTTATGACAGCAAACACACCAGGAGACAGCAAACTCGAACAAATCAAATATTTGGCCAATATGCTTAAGCTCTCTGAAGACAAACAAGATCTCATCCAATATCTCTTTTTCAACAGTAATGGATGGTATATCATTTGCTTTGAATATAAGAAAGACCTAACAGCATGTATGAACAAAGTCAACTCAAAGGATGAAGAGAACTTTCACTTGATCCAAATACAAACCCAGAAGCACTCAATAAAAAAAACAAAAGAAAATAGAACAAGTAACTCCAACAGGAGCAAGAGCTTCAATTCAGAAAAAGACATGCGCAATATCACCAACTACTTTAATCTAGCTGACCATATAGGAAAGGTCCAGTTAAGAATCAAAGGCAACTCATTTCTACACATTAGTAGAGAAGAATAGCTGCAATACATAACTAAAAAACTAAATGTACCATTGGAACACGAAGGTATACAGGTGCTGGCCATTGGAAAAAACAAATAGATAATTCTATACTTCAACAATATAACAGATGCACACAAATGCAAGCGACAATTACTAGAATACATCCAGGAACACAACATTATTATTATTACAAATAGTAATACAGGAAACAAAGCACCTTCTGAAACATCATTGTTATTTTCAATGGAGACAGAAGTGCCAAACCAGATGATACTTCTAGACATTGCTCAGCACCTTTCATCCAAAAATATTCGCAGCATACTTAATAAATATGGAGAAGTAGAATTCCTAAGAATCATCAAGGAAAATCACAAATACAACAGTGCTATTTTCTTCTTCAAATCTGTTAGAACAGACATTCATAAGATCTGGGCAATACCATTAGAAGAGACCATGGCAAAAATCGCTACACTGGAAAACCATCAAGAAATGCTGGCGGAGCGTAACAAAATAACCATAAGACTTTATGGAATTGGAAAATCCACTTCAGCATCCAGAATTATGAGTGCAACAAAACACCTCAAAGTCAAGACAGCTTATATCCCAGTTAACAGTGGAACAGGAAAAAGAAGAAACTTCGCCATTCTTGGATTTGAAAGCCAGGAAGACTTAAACAAGGTGTTAACATCACATGTGGAACTGTTTGGATGTAAAACCTGGTGGAGCACCAGAGACAACACAAAGATGTGTACACAGGAGAATACACTTCAGGAAAGCTCTTATGTCTATACAAAAAGAAGAAAGGAAACTTCCTTAGATCAAACTAAATACATAGACATGCTACCATCTTTTATTAGCTTTATAGAAATAGAAGAAAAAAAAGAACCCTCAACAAGTTATAGGCAGGAGAACAAAAGAAAGAAAGGAAAACAATCTATAGACACAAGAAAGCAAGAGAAGAGACCGGCTGAGATGGATCTATGGACCAAAGTCATCAACATGTTAGACACTATCAACTCAAGACTGACAAAACTTGAGAGTGGAAAAAGTAATAACAAAAAGTCTCAATATACTTCCTAAAGACATCCCAGTTGAATCAATAACAAATACTGGAAAGGGCAAATTATCGTAGGCTTCCCCTTCAGTATTCAATCAACTTGTACAACATATCACAGATGACGACAACTCAGACCAACCCAAAAACACAACTAACTTCCCAACCAGCAATGAAATCAATGCCTTTCTTACAGAACAAAAAAAATCCTTCCTAAGCAACAACATATACTTATGAACTTATAACATCAGGGATATCACAAGAACAATAGACCAAGAAATGCTGATCCAAGAGATATGGAACAAAAGAATCGACATCCTTGGACTAAGCGAAACTAAACTTACTATCAACAACCAAGCATTTGTATTTAGCAATAGTAAGGATAAATACAAATGCTTTCCTAGTTCTTGCCCTAATAACCCAAGAGGTGCAGAAATGCTTCTACTGGTGCACAAAGAGATAGAAAAGTATATTGCACAAGTAGACAAGATTGAGGGTCACCTAGTAGCGATCAACCTTCTCAGCAAAAAGCACAAAACATGGATAGCCCAAATATATCTCCCTTGCAACAAACAAAAAAGTATCAATGTTCAAAGAAAAATCCAGACATTAATACAAAGCAAAATTCAACAGCATTATCAGATCATAGTAATGGGAGATTTCAACACAGTACTCAATCCCAGACAAAACCATGCAAGCATCAAATCAAATAATAACTTCTCTCCTCCAGAAGATCCAGAAGTCCCAATATTTGACCACCTCTTAAATTTGAATCTTGTGAACCTTCATCAACTCTGAAAAAAACTGGAACTCTCTTATACTTGAAAAAATAGTGCAAGCTCAAGTAGAATAGACTATATCTGGTGCTCAATGGCAATAGCAAATAACATACTCCAACTGCAGAACCGTAGCTTTGTTGAAGTTACAAATAGTGATCATACTTTGCTAGACTTTAAAATAACTAAAAGTATACTCCTTCATACACCTACAACCCCCACAATACAACAGGCCAAAGCCAAACAAAAATATGAAAAAATAATTGATGCCATCAAAACCACTAATAAGCAATGGGACAAATACAAATCCAAGATTGACAACAGGATCATCAAAATCAAACTCCCCGAAAGGCTAGCAGCACTTCAACATACAAGCAATAGAGAGAACTTAGCACAGATCCAAGAAATATGGGAGGACTTTAAGAAGACTATAATTGCCACAGTATTCAATAATCTTTACTGGGAAAAGAAAGGTCCCAGGAAACATACAAGTACTTGCAATATAACAAAGTATGCCAAAGAAAAGAACCTAACCAAAGCATACAAAAACCTCCACAAGATCATAAAGAAATTCAAAAATGGGAATCTGGCATCAATATCTCTTTTCTCAATACAACAACTTAATACTTGGATATCCAGGACCACGGAAATAGTAGCAGATAATCCACAAGCCAGCACAGCATTAGAGACTCTCAATACATACACAACTGACAATAATATAACACATATTCTGGAACAAATGCATCTCACCAAATTAATCCTAAAGAAAATATGTATTCAAGAAGAGAAAAAGCGAACCAACCAGGAAATACAGGAGGCAATTGAAGCTAGATGCCGAGATCTTAAAACCAACCAAAAAAGGATAGTTCAAACACTGACAAATAACTTCAGAGATAAGATTAAGATCGACAGGATCCAAATAGTTGACAAAAACAACAGAAAATACATCACAATAGACGAGGAAGAAATTCTAAATCAAATACAATGTTACTATCAGCAGGCCTTCCGCAAGCGTAACAGCAACTTTAACCTCCTGGACA